ATACAACACACACAAGTGAAGGTAAACTTTTATTTAGACGTTGGCGAATTGACCAGTGGGACGTTGGCGAAGCGACTTAGGACGTTGGCGAACGAGACGTTGGCGAAACGACTCGTTGGCGAAACGACCGGATACCTTTTCAAGCTTATAGTATATACTGCAGGTGGCCTGGCGTGACCGAATATATCGGTTGTTAATTAATGCAGATTAATGTAATTTATTAATCCATTTTTATGCCATCCTCTGATCAGAGCTTGAAATCCATCAAAGTAAAGGTTTCTTCGATAAAGATGTATTGCTTTTAACCTTGGAAGATCCTAAAGCTCGTGTAGGGAGTGGTGGTGCCAGTGTAAATGCTCTACTGGTTGTTGCAGAACATCTAAGTGCAAAAGCTGGTTATGAGGTAAAATACGCCATAAATGACAGACAATTTTATGGAACTGTCCTTGTTAGCAGAATACCCAGGAGGAGGACTTCTATGTAAAAAAGTGAAGGATGCTCATTGGAAAATTTGACTTGAGCCCTTAAAGGAGACCAACCTGGGCATGCTCTAGTTTTATTTGAATTGACTCCTAAAAGATGCCCAGCTTAAACCGGAAAATATCACAGCTGCAGTTACTTATTATTATTGTTTCCTTCAATGCACCCTAAAAGATACCTTGATAGCTTAAACTAGTGACATTACGTCCTGAACACCCTAGGAGAGACCAAAATTATTTTGTGATTTACAACCCTAAGTGAGAGGGGGAGCATATGTACCCAAACTTTTCATTTGGGGTTTTCCCCTTGGGGCTGGATGCCTTTTNCGTTGGCGAAACGACACCGTTCCTTTAAGTCTGAACGAAAATCAAAAATTTTTAAATCTGACTGTTTGGGTAGCAAAAATCGAACATTTTTATGTTTCATCTTTAATATAGCGTGTTTTCACATGACGCAATCACGGCAGCCAGGAACAAAGAAACGGCGGCCATGTTGGTGTCCCAAACCATTCCGGTGGAAGTTGAACTCTTTTCTTATGTTCACTTTCCTTTGGTTCAATAAATTTGCATAGCTGTTGGTCATCGCGTGAGTGAAAACGCACTATCCAGGTCTCGCAAAATTGTGGGTTTGTGGGCTGTATATCACCTCCCATGCCAGGACCGTTAGTTCTCTCGTCGAGCACCATGGTTTTTTTCCTTGTGGTTTCTATCCTGCCATCGACCAGCTTGGCGTTACAAATTAAATTCGTTACACTATACAGGTCTGATGCATGTGCTACCGATCAATATAATACCAACAGAATTGTGTGTTCTTTTTCAGCCTTCAGATGTGTTGGCTTTCTATAACGTGAGCGTAGACTGGGGCGGATTGACTGTGAGAGTGGAGGAGCCATCGCAGTGAATCATGGACTTGCACAGAAGCGATCATCAAGCACATAGCCGGACACTTTGTATAAATGGCGCCCAAGGCTTGTGTTCGGTCACCGCTGACATTGGGGAGTTTAAAAAACCACGACGGCGTTTAAAAAATGAATTTATATTTTACCTACGAATCGCGCAATACTATAAAGTCATTTACTTTGTTTATCACTGTCAAAACTATCGCAAAACTAAATCCGGAACACAGCGATAAATTTGAAATAAAAATTAAAAAGTTAGTCGTCGTTCTCCAGACAACGCGAAACAGATCAATTTCGATATATTTAAATTCAGCCTAACACAATAGACCTCCGTACGAGGCTCTGGGGAATAACTACAGAGTTTGTGGGGTTTATTCCCCAGAACCTCACACTGAAGTCTATTTTAATTTCTATTAATGTTTTAGGCTGAATTTTAATATATCGAAATTGGTCTATTTGGTCATGTCACGTTGTTGTTTTGCAGAGGAAGGCAAAGAAATATACCAAGAATTATAACGCACGTACACAGCCATTGTTCTGCGCATTAATATTTTTCTTCAGTGACGTTCCCGTTTGCCGTTGCCTTCGTGGTTTTCTTAATCTCCCTATTGCTAACATGTGACTCAGAAGATAGTTTGGGCTTCCTGAGTACACTGTTGAAGTACCTGAAGCCGATTGACTGGTTTCCACTTGAGTGTCGAAAAGTGATTGGTTTTGCATCACTACGCTACACTTTTATCCAATCAGGAGGAAGCCCAAAACCAGCCGTAACTCTCTCGCACACGTTTCCCGCACCTCGCGTCAAATGTGCTTTAGCGTGGTCTGCACTCTTATCGACAACGATACGCGTCATCACAGTGGTCAAAATGTTGTGGACTCACGAGGCGCAGTCGAGTGGAAAATAATAATCAATAAGAAAACCAGAAAGATTGGGAGACATTCAGTTTCCTGCTAATCTTTATCTGCTCTATGGTCCTGATTAGCTAATATCAGCGTTTGTATGGACTCTTTGGTTTCCAAGCGGTTTTGATCTAGTTCCTAAAGTAAACCAGGCCTTACATAATATCGTTCATGTGTAACAGACACTGTTTGTTACTTCCTCCTTCAGTTGATTTAACAGTTTCTAATGCTTTTAACTGGATATGAAGAAGCTGAAAGCGCGGAAAAGAGCATCATTATTATCTTCTTAACTTACTGTTTAATCATTGCAGCTTCGCAATCCGAACCATCCTCCGCCGGAAATTGGCATTCATCTATTACGACGTAAAGGTAACAGGTAAATAAAACAATAAAACAATTATAATATAATACATCTTCATCAGCCGTTCTCTTTACACATTGAGGCCCCGTCCATCTAATTTTTCATTTATCAAGTCATTCCAAGATCCTTTGGATGAAATGTCATTCCATTCCTGAAATTATATGGCCGCTAAAGGCCTTGGCCTGCTCAACTATTCGAGTCGGAAAGTCATGGCGGACAGAGCTGCGCTGGCATCGGTGGCTTATGAAGCCTCAGCAACCTACGAACAAGTTCGACCGAGTTACAGTGTTGAATCTGTCAAATTTTTCTTGAAAAAGCTTGGCCTCCTGGAGCAGCAAAGAGCGCAGCCACTCAGTATTCTTGAATTAGGCGCCGGTACGGGAAAATTTACTCGCGTTGTGATGGAAGTGTTGAAAGGCATCGACGCGCGGGTAATAGCGAGTGATCCCACTAATACTATGGTACAAGAGTTCCAAAGAGTTTTGCCTAATGTCGAGTTGTTGCATTGCTTCGCTGAGAACATTGGTAGGTTTAGTTTTATCTTGTTTACTGTGCCATAGATTTGTGTTCTGGCAAATTAGCGATCTAAGCTCACTCCTAAACAGACCCCCCCTCCACACCCGAGTTGGGGAGGTGGGGGGGCGGGAGGGGAGGGGGGACTCCCATGTGAAAAGGACGGGGACCCTCGTCGTACCTTTTAGGAGTCAAGAAAAGCAGTTTTGGTATCTCTTACGGTGTTCAGCCTTAAAAGGTCCGCAGCGGGAGCTTTTTGAGGTACCTTGTAGGATATAGAGTGGGGAGAAAAATGACAGGAGATAATGTTCTGTTTTAGAATTGGTACTTCTTAGGGGTGAAAAAAAATTCAAAGCATGCCCTCAAAGCAGGATCGCGGTACCCCTTAGAACCCCTGTCCTTTCTGTTTGGGAGTCCCCATCAGAAAAGAAACAAGAAATTAGTGAACATTTTGTTGTTTTTTAATCACTCAAGCTCACCATTGATTTTGAATTTTCCTGGGTGACCTTGGTCGTTGAATTGATTTTACATTAAAGTGAAAGGAACTCCTACAGAAACATTTCTAGTGCTTGCCACACAAATTTCAAGTCAGTCGTTTACAGCAGTTACGTTATTTACAAATGGAATTTAAATGGAGTGATGCAAGTAAAACTACCTTTTAAGTCATGTATCTTACTTTTTCGTTTCTGATCACCTGATGAAGGAGCCTGCCTCATTGACTAATCTCAGCTCTATGAAAGTAAGTAAATCTGTAAAATCACTCTTGAGTTGTGGCAGAGTGACTCCAAGGCTAATCATGGCAAAAAACAATCCCCCCCCCCCAAATAAATCAGTCTCTCCTGTCCCCTTCCCCATCTTTCAGTCTTCGCTCTTCCCCCCCTCCACTCTCAGCTGACTGTTTAATTCCGGCATTTCACGACAGTTAAAAATAGTTTTGCTATTGCCTATTCTAAATCTTTCCGAATTTAAAAAGAAATAGTATGCAAAGTGTGATGATAACTATTATGATGAAACACATTGTTGGAAACATATTCTTTTAACGTAATTTTTGGTATGTTTCAACGTGCATTTTCAGAAGTGACCATTGAGAATAGAAATAACAACAAAACTAAAATTCAAAATAAGTAGCCAATTAATCAATTCAGAAAATTATTCTGATTTATAACGAACCTGCAGGACTAGTAGCTTATCAAAGAAAAAAATAAATTATAAAATAATAAAAAATCTGATCAGCCGTACTAAGAGACTTTCCAGTCTCTCATTTTAAATCAAATGTTGCTCTCTGTCTTTTTGGGTTCTCCTGAGGTTCTTAAATTGATCTCATAATCGACATATCAGCAAGTTTAATTGTCACTTTTATTTACTTAAGTCCTGAAGAAGGCTACTTAAACTTGCTGAAACATGGATTTTAAAATCAATCCCAGGAAACAGAGAGCAACTTTTAAATTCCTTTTTGAATCAATCACTATTCATCGTGTCAGATCGATGCTGCAAATTAAGTTTTCATGTCAAACCTTGAATGTACATGCCAAAACGTCTTCAATTCTGTTCATTAGTCATTAGTGTCATGTCATTCCATCATCCTTTGGATGGAATGGAATGCCATTCCATTCCTGAAATTGTTTCGCCGCTAATGGCCTGGGCCTGCTTATGTTTTCGGCTCATGGAGGACAGTGTTGAAGGCCGAGCTACGCTGGCGTCGATGGCTTTTGAAGCCTCAGCAGCCTACGAACAAGTTCGACCGAGTTACAGTGTTGAATCTGTCAAGTTTTTCTTGAAAAAACTTGGCATCCTAGAACAGCAAAGAGCGCAGCCACTCAGTATTCTTGAATTAGGCGCCGGTACGGGAAAATTTACCCGCGTTGTGATGGAAGTTTTGAAAGGCATCGACGCGCGGGTAATAGCGAGTGATCCCACTAATACTATGGTACACGAGTTCCAAAGAGTTTTGCCTAATGTCGAGTTGTTGCAGTGCTTCGCTGAGAACATTGGTAGGTTTAATTTTATCTTGTTTACAGTGCCATTTTAGAATAGCCCTGTTTACAGTACTAGTTCCAAGCGCCATCCTGGATTAGTAACCGCGCAAAAGTGTAATTGCCCCGCGTAAGATTCCAGACAGCAAGTAGACAACCTACAGTAACAAAGACAAAAGTTACGCCTGATAAGTTTTGTTTGATTAAGGGCCAATTCAAAGAAAAAGCAAGTCTTCGACAACTTAGGCTCCTAGACAGTGGCCTCTGACCTCGCCAGAGATTAGGTGACCAGTCTACAGAGATCTACTGAGCATTGCCTATCGTCATCTTTGTACTTTTCGTACACCAATAACACAGCAAATAAANTGTGAACTGAAGGAAAGAATAGTTTTATGTATTTTCATTACTTTTAAGTTTGTTTACTCAGTTCTACATGTAAAGGTATACATATACAAACTCCAAGAGATGTGATCTGGTCATGTCCTTAATACTGTATGTTTTTGGTTTAATTAACAATGCCATTATTTAATTTCTTTTACACCGCAGACTTTAACTCTGAGTGTCTTGGACAATGCTAACATTCTTATCATGCATATGGTGGGTATTGTTGCCATGAATGGCTTAATAATAAAAATATTGTATTTTTTAACGTTTTTAAGGTAAAATTTTAGGCTTCAATTGTTCCATAAGGGTCAAAATTAATGTATATTTTGTTTTCCTGTACATAGACATAGTAAAGTAAACACAACATTTTAATCTCATGTTTTACAAGCACTCTCATTGACTGAGATCTCTTTCTCTTTCCTTCCTCTTCCACCTATAAAATGTTGAATAATTTATTTGATACAATTTCTAGTAATTAAAATTAAAATACCCAGGAAACTCTCTTCTTTTCCAGGGTCGAGACTTTCCATTTAGTTCTTGTGGACGGTTCTTCAACACCTTACCAGCCAAACACAAAGAAGAATCAAAAGAGCATTTGTGTGATTGCCTGGTCTCCAACTTTGACCTCCTGCTAGACCTTGTGTCAAACACAGTAAGCTTTTAAATCTTCTGTTTGTGTATTAAAGTATTGATTAATAATCACCTTTGGTAATTGGACTTTTGAAATTATTACAGTGTTTCAGCTTTCTTGTAAAGTAAAAAGTCTGGCTGTTGTATCATATGTGTAATAATAATATTATGCATGCAATAAAAGTCTTAATTGTTATCAAGACGTTTCAACTTTGATACCCTGATATCAATATTAATAATAAGTAGCTTTGCGGGGTTATACATGTAGTGTTATAGACTACTTTGTTCAACAATACTTAACAATAGCTTCTCTGAGTTTCATGTCTGAGGATGTAAGCCTATAGTGTACTGTCAGACCAATGGGAAGGATATAATTGTAACTCAAAGCTTACTGTTTACATACAAATATGCCAGTTCAAGGAGTTAACCTTTAATTAAAGTGTGTAGAATGATTAATTAAAAATAGTTAGCATTACATAAAACCCTTAAGGGTGTCAAAGGGTCTGAAGAGTTTTGCATGACATGAATGATCTTGTTGGTTGCAGCTGTCAGTTAATGCTCCCCCTGGGGTGTGGATTTGTAGTACTGACATGATTCTTACTGTCGCTCCAGATACAAGTACGTTTTTACTGTTGTAATACTGTAGTCTTCATATTAATTTTATGTTATCATTGATATTGATTGTTACTGTTTTTGGCTTGCAACCAATTTTATGTCTATAATTGTTTTTTTCATCGATAGAAATTGATTGGAAGCAGTATTCTGATGGCATCACCATGATATTATTTCAAGGAGATATAAACTATGCAACGGGCCATGGGGTTGTGAAACTCGGAGACAAGGTACTGTAACATCTGTCGAGACAAAGTGTTCATGAAAAAAAATACATGCGTGTGTCTCCTACAGAGGTCACCACTTATGTTGTTTGATTGATTGTTGTTTGCTTGAGTTTTTCTTCAGAAAATTGATCTGATTACCATGCATCAAGCCTTACACATGTAATCATGTATTGGCTTGATTGAATCCAGGGAGAAACCGCAGGCCTGGCCCCATCTGTTTGATAAACTGCTTTGTGGCAACTCAGTCCTTTCAGGATTGTGAGACAAGTCAGTTCTTAAGTCCACCTGAATGAACGTCCATATTTTTTGAGTTTACAGTTACCCGATTGTGATCTGCCATGACATAAAGCAGTGGCTTCATGGTGTCTAACTGTATAGCTGATCATCAAGCTTTAGATTCTCGTCGAGATCTCGGTGAGATCTCAAAATTTTGGTGGCCAAGTAAACTTGCTAAGATTAGGGACTTTTTGGCCGCTGAGACTTGCTGTGATCTCACTGAGATTCAGAAACTCACAAACATCATGGGGAGATCTCTGCAATCTTGGTGAGATCTTGTCAATATTGGCGAGATCTCGGTAAAAGTTTCTCATGGGACAGGATATAACATTGCTACTACATGTACAGTATGTACTTGTAAACAACTATATGGTAATTTGTTTACAGCTTTTATTAATTACTTTTTCTTGCAACTAAATATGTTGAAGGGCAAAGTTAAGGACATCACTTTTAAAGGAACTGTGGATATGTTAAAGAGCTGTGCCCTCCAAAATGGTAAAGTTCCCTTGGTAAGTATCCGGTTATCTGTGCAGCAATAGAGTGCAGTCTCTAAAGCAAATATTACTGATTAAAGTCAGATGTAGGCTTTTGACGCTTAAAGATAAGCTTATTGCACAGCTTTGGTCCAAAAATACCTGCAGCTAAATTAAGGTCACCTTTCATGCAAAATATTAATTTTTTTTCTATGATAAAAAGTAGAACTAATTTGGCTTGTATGCATTACATGCCTATGGTGTTGGCAAGTATTATAGGCATGTAACACGTGCAGAGACTTACATAGCTTTAGCCCTGGTGCAAATATTTAGTTAAACATCCTCAGAGATCAGCTGTGACAAATTTTCACAAGGGTACACCTTTGTGGTGCACACTGTGGGCCTATGGCTGGCTATAAGTATTGTTCACTAGTGTCCTACGCATGCAAGGTGTGCGGACAGCTACGTGTTCGCTCCTGTGCCCATATATATGACAGCAGCTACTGAATTGTTTGGTTAACAGGTCAGTGGTGTGGTTTACATAAATATCTCAATAGTGGAAAAAATTCTCAGTTTCCATGTGTATGCTCCTCTTGATGCTTGCACTTACTATGGACTTGACAATGGAGCAGATCCTATACAGGTATGAAACGATAGTGTTGTTCTGATATGATACTTATAACAACAGGGTTGGTGATATTAATTAACAGATTTTGGCAGGGTACCACAGTACTGTAACTGGTGAATAATGCGTCTTGATTACTGCTCCCTGATGGCTGCAAGGGTCATCTTGGGTTGACATTACAAGTATAGTGGGATTATTTGAAATAAAATGCAAATCGCCTCCCTTGAATGACTGCCCCTGCTCCCCACCTGTCCCCCTCACTCCCCTTGGGTAATATCCTCCTGCCTACCTAGTACTAACTTTTTACAGTTGATTGTATATTTGAGGATATACAGTTAGTCAATTTAGACTACAACATGCTGTATTTTTATTTTATACATTTAGTTGTCACTGTTCTTTGACATTCTACTGTGCCTGGCTGAGGATGTCACTGAGGCAGACTTTGTTTGTGGTGAAAGGAGTGGTTCATATGGTCGCAGCACTCGAATGGGAACAAAGTGTAGCTCAAAGGATGAGATGACATTGATGAGAGGTGCAAGGGCTTCTCTGTGGAAGATTCTCAGGGGTGTCTCACTAAAAGGAGGTACTGTACGTTCAATCAACTCCTAAACTCTTGTTACATTGTTCAGTACACCGTCAAGTAAAGTTGTGTGGAGAATGAGTAAACTAATCATCGACCAGGAGCTACTTTCTTGCTTTGTCCTCATTCATCACCAAAACCTAACTCTGACAATAAAATAATAAACTTTAGAAATACTTGCAATAAATTAATTACATTGAGTCACTGTGGTCTAATTGTTAGTGCACTGGACTCTAGTTCTAGCAATCTGGGTTCTAGCTCTGGCCGGGGTCTTGAGCAAGACACTTACAGCTGTAAATGGGTGCCTGCAAATAAATGCTGGAGGAGAAAGT